TCCTCCTCCTCCTCCTCCTCCTCCTCCTCCTCCTCTCCTTCCTCTTCTTCTTCTTCTCAACATTTCTTCCCTTAAGGACTTCTCATTTGAAGGAAACGATGGATCGCAGCCTCGGTGGTCTACTCGGGCCTTAGGAAATTAGGAAACCTCACTGAATAATCACTTGGGTTCCTGACCCATCCACGATCTTTGTTACTGGCCTTCTCCCATAGTAAGCTAAGAGTAACTCTTTAACGGTAAAGATCTCTGTGTGTGTGTGTGTTTGTGTGTGTGTTTCTGAAAGTTGGCTCTCCCTTCTCTTTCCACCATCCTCGTAGAAAAGACAGTATGTCTCCCAAAAGATAAGTCTACAGCAGGGGTATCCCAACGTGGCCACTTTGAAGATTCCCAGAATCCCCACCCCAGCCATCTCGTGGGGTTAAGATCTTAAAACAGGGGTCTTCAGACTTGACAGCTTTAAGATTTGTGGACTTCCAACTCCCAGAATTCCTCCTCCACAGTCATTGTTAGCTCAGGAATTCTGGGAATTGGAAGTCCACAAGTCTTAAACTTGCCAAGTTTGAAGACCGTTGTCTTGAAGACCGTTGTCTTGAAGACCATTGTCTTAGTTGAGGATTTGGACCAGAAGTTTAGACCAGAGTGTGGCTGGCTGGGGGGGATTCTGGGAGTTGAAGTCCACAATGTCTTAAAAGTGGCCACGTTTGGAGATCGTCCCAGTTTACAACATTGTGCACCGTGTCTTCTCTGTAGCTCCACCGTAGACGTTCGCTTGTGAATTCATCCGGTGGGTGTCGAGAAGGACCACAGTTGAGCGAGAAAACGAGGCTGGGGGTGGCTTTGGGAGGATGGGATGTCTTCTTGATCTCCTCCCAAGTGGATGGAGCTTTGGGAAACATCTCCAGATGAAAGGAGGGAGAAACAGGGGCTCGATGTGGTTTGGCCTGTGGGCAGGTCAACCCATCCCTTCATTTTGTGATTTCTTCTCTTCCGACCCGTCAGATCTGTGGAGCTGGTTTTTCTTTCACTCCCATCTTCCTTAAGTCACTCATATATATTTTTTCCCTCCTCCATTCTGGAAGTCCAGTTGAATAAGAGAGAGGGAAGGAGAAGGCACTCCCTAAACATGGAGGTCCATTTGCCTACCTTACAAGTTAGGGCAGGGGTCCCCAAACTTGGCAACTTTAAGACTGGTGGACTTCAACTCCCAGAATTCTGGGAGTTGAAGTCCACCAGTCTTAAAGTTGCCAAGATTGGAGACCTCTGCGTTTAGGGGCACCTCACGAGATGCTGCTGTACTGCTATGTTGACTGTTCAACATTATAACTGTATACTCCTTTTACAACTAAAAAAAAAAAAATACCAATATTTGTGTACGTTCTTTGTAAGTGAGTGTAGTACTGTGTACTTAGCACTAGTGTGAAAAGAGAATCGGGGGGGGAAACAAGGAAGGGCCTGAGCATTGGGGAAGAAGTCCAACGCCCTCCAGATGGTGATGGGAGCTGTAGTCCCAACTTCTTGAGAAGTTGCCAAGCTGGGGAAGGCTGCTCCGAACCTTCGCAACCCACTGTCTGTGGCTCCTGCTACCAGTAACCGACATTCTTCTTGATGGTTTTTTTTTCCAAGGTCCTCCTTGTTGTGTTCCTCCTTAACTATAATGTTTAGGGACACTAACTGCCCATTTTGGTGGATGTGGAAGGAGGAAGGGAAGCAGAAGGGATGTCTTCCAATACTCCCGTGTCCATCTTGCAACCAGTGTCCGTCTTGAGGATCCCAAAAAGATCTCAACAGGTCCCAGGAAGGGACATGGACCTTCTTGAGGGATCTGCCATTCCTTCCAAAGGCAGAAGATTCCCCTCACCTTCCTTCTTGCCTGTCCTCTGCTGCTTTTTGGCTGGCTCCCCATCAAACCTTTGAAGGCCCCCTTCACCTTGGGTTCGATGACATCCCCTTTTCACCGTAGCTCATTCAAGATCCCATCACAGAACCCTTGGAGGTTCACCTGGTAGAGCTAGGGGGGGGAGAGGGAATTTGGGGGTCCAGATCCTGCTGAAGTCCCTGCTTTTTCTTAAACACGAGGGGAGAAGTCATGTCTATGTTAAGGATCCAAGAGGGAAGATGTGAGGCTGGAATTCAGGGATCGGGGCAAGCTATCAAATCCTCACGGACCTTCCTAGTTTGCAGAAACCAAGTGAGGGGAGAACTTCAAGGCCCTCCAGACCTTGAAGAACTACATCTCCCAGGAGGTCTCATTCTCGCCATTGTAGTTCTAGAACATCTGAAGGCCTCCATTTCTCCATCCCTGCTGAGGAAGGACTAAAGGACAGCATGTCCTTTGGGAAAGACAATGGTTTGGCATGTCCCACAAAGCCAAGGTAGATGTTCCTTCTGGCCGGCAACCACTGTTGAAGCTTGGCTCTTTTGTTCCACCTCCCCTTCTGCTCTGCCTCATCCATCTCAGCTCCGAATTCTCACTCCCTAGTGCTGTGCCACACCATGGAGTGGAACAAAGCTGGTTGTGATGCTTGCAGGCTCATGAAGACGACGGAGAAGGAGGTGGCCTCTTTGGGTTGACTCACGGCTGCCCTTTGGGGCTGACACACCAGCATGGCGAAGATCTCACACACCAGCTGTTTGACTGCTTTAACTTACGAGCGCTCCCACGGTGACAAGGAAGCTTAAGAGCCTGTTGCTTGGAAGGGGATGGTCAAAATTTGAGCAGGTCCAATATTCTGCAAAACAGAGAATGGGGAAGTGATTAATGATTGTGTAAAGCAGGGATGTCCAACCTTGGGGACTCTAAGATTTGTGGACTTCAGCTCCCAGAATTCCTCAGTCAGCCATATTTGATGACTTGTGGGCATATTTTAAAACTTGTGGACTTCAACTCCCAGAATTCCCCAGCAGTCATGCTGGCTATGGAATTCTGGGAGCTGAAGTCTTAAAAATATGGCTGACTGGGCAATTTTGAGAGTTGAAGTTCACAAGTCTTAAAAATATGGCTGGCTG